TTCTCACCCTCTAAACCAGAAGACCTCATTGGCAGGAAACAAAAAACCAGAAAGATTCAGGGCACCACAACACGCTGGTGTTCCCCTGGAAGGATCACGGCAAGGCAGAGGGAAACTTTCTACCCTGCTTATGTGCTTCGAGCGAACTCCTATTTGTGTTTCCAATAAAGAACCATTTTTACATTAACTGTCTGTAACAGCAGGGAATAGGAAAACTAACACAATCTTTACCTCAGACAAAGGATGATATTGGTGTCACGTGTTTGCTTCTTAAAAAAATGTTATTTATAAAAGGCAACGGGGCAAGCAGAGAAACTATTGACTCTTGTGTGTATCCCTGCGCGAGTTGCATTAGAGCAACTTTTTGATCCCCTACATTTTTTACATTTTCCCCCCCCGAGAAGTAAATTTTACAGCCGCACAGGCCACCGCCTTTAATTAAGCTTTCAAAAGTCTTCTGACAATGCCAACAATTGCAAGACACTTCTGGAGCTCAATCATGCAATCATCGTGACACTTCTATTTACAATTTGTCTTAGAAAGAGTTTCTCTGACATTGTACTTTGACAAAACAGCCAAGCTGCCAGTTCACAACCTTTCTCTGTCTTATTTACAAATACAGCTTGTACGCAGGGCTCTGAATCTCAGGAGTGGGAGCCTTTGGGTAGCACCCTCACTATTTTTCCTGACTGCAACTGTTTTTACCCAGCCTGTGCTTTCTGTTTCTTTGTATGGGGAAAGCAGACAGAATTTGACTCCAAAATATTTCCATATTCCTTCCTCCCACCCTTTTTTTTTTCCTTATTGTCCAGATGTACTGCTAACTACTCAACACAGACATCAATAATTTTTTTGTCTTCGGAACAAAACAAAATAGTAAGGAATTGCAATTTACAATCTACAGAATTATAATGGCAACTACTAATAACAGCCCAAGAAAATTTCTGTGGTGTAATGACTACTCAAAAGACATTACCTCCCGAGAACTGTAATAATCAAAGGTACTTGGTCAAAAATTTAGGACTGCATTATGTCCACCTTCCCCCAATTACTGCAGACAGCGATTTTTTCTTATGCCATTTTCCCACGTATTTTATTTGAATGCCACAAGCAGCTTGAGAATAAAGGATTCGAGCAGTAAAAATGACCTCCCCTCCTCCTCCCCTCTTTGTACAGTAAATACAGCATCCACAGATACACACTCGGCATTATGAAGAGGAATATGCAGCAGCACTCCAAAGTGTTCCTCCAACTGAATCCAAGTAACATTTAAGATCTTTCCTCACCCAAAAAAACAACCTTTCATTAATTCCCTCGGATTTATACATTCAACAAACAAACCACTAAAACCTGACACCAGCGGACGATAAATATTTCTTCAGCCTTTTCAATAAGTGAACAGCAATTTTACATTCACTGATCTCTAGATACTTCAGTTAATATTTCCCCCTATTGTAAAATATGAGAGCGGATAACTAAAGCCCTGCCGTAGCACTCACTGCAAATCACGGGCTGCCGGTATCTGGTGGTGAGGCTTTGACATACATATTGATGAAAGCTGCCTCATTGGACCCACACAACATATCCTATTAATTTTCAGTTAAATTTATGACATTTCAGCTATAGCGCTGGATCAGCATCACTCAAAATTTTATAGCAAGTCAAAGCTACGCGCAGACAGACACCAACACGCAAGAGACAGGTACGTACGCCTGCACCTATATGGATCTCACTGCCACTGCACAGGTTGCACGTATACGTATCAGCTCTCCTACTCATCCCCGTCTCTGGAAAACGGTGAGGATAAAGAGCAGCCTACCGACGGTTAAAACAGGCATCATTTCTCCCTGCATTTGAATGACTCGCTGCCTCCTTCCTTCTCTTAAGATGAGCTGGATCCTTAACCACTACTTAAGATGATCTTTTACTGTAATGCACCAACTTACTGGCTATAAAACTGCAGACAGAGCACATACTGCACCCAGAGCTAACCTACAGCACACCTCTGTATCCAGTGCTAACCTGTAACACCTCTTTCAGCCTAACGACTAGGTGGGGACGTTTTTACATTGCTACTAAATACGTATTTTCTTGTCTCTTACCAGCAAGAATCAGTTCCCTCAACTCTTGTGTATTTTTGTGAAGGTGGCCTCTGTCCTTTTGGGTTTTTTTTTAATTACACACTCATATCTTTTTGCATTTTACATTCTTGTACAGAAATCAAATATAAAATAGCAGAACTGGAAGAGCCTGAGGTTCACTGCAGGGACCTTCCAGAAACCTGAATGCCACAGCTCACTCCCAAGACCCTCATAGGTGATTTTACTGCCAGACCCCACAAACTCCTGGCTACAAGCAGAGGCTCACTCCAGCTATTGCCACACTTCTTTGTGACACAGGGAGCTGAACTCATCCAAGTTAAAGGGGAGATGAAAACACGAAGGGGAGGGACAGCGCAAGATCCCATAACTCCTGGTGCTCCTTACCCATCTTCCACAACTCAGCTGCATTCCCCCCCACCAGGAACAACCAGGGGACCCCCCACGCCACTCGGCTCCATCCCAGCCAGGGAGGTGCAGGAGAAGCCCTGCACTCCCAGACCTCCCGTCCGCAGGCACGGCTGGGCAACACCACATAGAAAACTCAGGGCGGGAGATGCCTGAGCAACTGCAGCTCAGTCTCTGCTCACAACAGCACTTGTGCCTTGCACCACAGACCCTCCTGCACAGCACCAAGCCCACTCCCAGCTGAGCCCACTGTCAGAGCAAAGGCGATCCCTACACCTAAGAGCGGGCAGGATCGGGCCCCTGCTGACATGCACCTCTCCTTACCCATTGCCCTCCGCTCACCGAACCATTTAAAGTCAGTTAAAACCATAGCTTTTTCTGAATCAATGGCCCCGTGACATCATGTGAGGCCAAATCCTGTTCGCTTCGTGTCACCCGCGCCACGCAAAAGCCTGATTTGGCTTGCCAAGCCCCCCCTGCCGAACTAGTGCCGGAGCAAAACCCTCAACTGAGGAGTTTCCCTCATGCAAAACTCCCTGGCATGGCCGTCCCTCAGGCCTAGGGACCTATTCGGGACAACAGCAAGGAAAGAGGGTTTAATTCTTGCTTGACAGATACTGTGTTTTGTCTTTTCAACAGAGTGGCGCCGTACGTAAATACAGCGTTACATCATACGGCCGCTCCTCCATATTTGGTGATTTAGTATGGCTCCAGAGCTCGGAAGACTACAAATCCCTTCCACCAGGCTCCCGCTTCATTAATCATGCCCTACGCTTCTGCTCGTTTACCATCAGATCGCAGGCAGCACATGGAAATGGGCACTGCCCTCTACCACGCTGGGGAAAAAAAAAAAAAAAAAAAAAACAAACAAAAACACCTTTAACATCCGTGACTAGGAAGCACAATATGCAGAATTACTGGGGGTCTTAAGCCTCGTTCAAAATGTAGCTTAGCAGTAGCTGAGCCTCAGTTTCCTCTTAAACATGCATTTACACACGTATTCGAAGTCATACCTATTACTCTGCAAGAATAGCGTATATTCATTCACATGACACGTGCGTGTGCACACATATGGCTTTGCAGCTACACATGTGCATGGACAGACACGCGCGCACCGACACATACTTCCAAACTACAGCTCTCCAGTGTGATCAGACAGGCAGTTTGGAGGCCAGGGAGGCTGCGGGAGTATCGCACTGAACCTCCCAGCTCCTACTGCCCTATTATGGTTTAACTTTGCGGCCAGAGCAAGCCCAAGACAAGCTCCAGCACATCATGTGATGATGTACTGCGCCTCTGACAACCCAAAGCAGTCCTGTGGGCTCCCCGAAGAGAGGTACCAGCAGTGCCACATCCCAAACATCGCTGGGAGGGAGGGGAGGGGGTTTGAAATTGGTTCAGGCATTTGTTGGCGTCGATACGCTGCGGTCTCGCCTTTTTCAACCGGTAGTATTGGCGCGGTTTGAAGTGATTTGCAACGCTCGCTGCAAACGGGTAGTACTTTTGTTTACTAGCAGGATTTTAAATGCAGAGCGTGCCTTGTTACACTCCCAGGGCTCTGGGATTTTCTTTCATGCAGTACGCTGTTTTTTCACCCTCATTTGTGAAAATAGCTGCACAGCAAATGGCTTTCCCACTTTTAAAAAAAATAAATATATATATATTCTAATAAATGGAATTATTTTCCCCCTTTTTAAAAAGAAAAATAATACATTTCATATTGTTCGTTGCACAAAACGGAACTCTGCCTCGGACATTTGTACGGCTGACATGTGGTTGTGTAAACCGCAAACAAAATCAAGATACATCTGTCAAAACCACATCAGAGACAAGAGAGAGCACAGCGAAGCATTTATCATTTGGCTGAGGAGGCAGGCTGCAGAGAGCGGCCTTTCCTGTCAAACCAACCTTTTGAAATTTCCAACATGCCCTTAAACTTTTCGAATAAGCATGTCTGTGCGCTTCAGCAACTGCCCTCTCTACTCTGGCCTGGCCAGTCGAAAATGGCATCTTAAAGTCAAGGTCGGTGGTGTCACTTTGCCATGGGGCTGTGTTTAATTACAGTCCATACGCTGACAGCCAACATGGAACCAAGGCTGGCTGACGCTGGGTTAACTCTTTCCCCCCTGACTTTGCCAAAGACTCGAAAGCTCCTTGCGTGGCAGGCTCTGAAATCTCCTCCCACAGCGCTACAGCAGGCGAGACACCGGCGGACGGTGACTACAATACAGGCAAATCACGAGAGCAGCCTCAAACAATACTGTTAGAAATACCGGCTGGCACGGCACGTGCCTGTTGATCCTGCCTCTGCACGGGCAACTAGGAAATACCGGTGGTGCGCTCACCGCTAACCGAAGGCAGGGTATTTAACACATTGGCCGTCACGGCAAGCAGAACAGAGAGACAGACACGGCAGTTTTACAACTGCGAACACGCTACGGTGCGACTGAAACGGAAATCAACTCGCAAACACTTCTGCTTGCTTTAATTTACCTGCTATATGTTCCTGTTTAGGGCAAATTCCTCTAGATGACGTTGATAAACAATCGTCATCCTCTGGCGTAACCTGGATGCCAACCTCCACAGGATTGGATGCTTTTTTCAGCTCACTTGGTGAGGGTGAAGGTGGCTTATCCACAGCCTTCTCTAAGCAGAGACTGCCATTGCATTGTTTCCGTTTGTGCTCAATAAAAATAAGAATGTCCCCCAACGGGAAGTTCATCTGACACTGGCCACAAGTGAGGAGGTCGTGGTCCCCTTCCGGAGCTCCCAATGTGCCATGTTCAGGTTCGTCATCAGTGAGAATGGCTTCAAGAGGTTCGGCTGCAGTTTGAGAAACAAAAGGAGAATCATTAGAGCTCTCGGGAAAGGCACCGGGTGCGGCGGAGGGGGGGGAAGGAAGGGAGGAACGCGCCGAGCCCCCTCTTCATGAATATTACACCCTGCTCACAATGTCCGCCTGCTCCCCCCCCAACTACACCCATGCAACACAGCTATTAGCACAGCAGCGAGGAGATGATGAATTCATCAGTTACAGGGAAGAGATTTTGCAGAAGCAGCTGTAGCCTAAAAAACTCGGGAGGGCGAGCACCACAACTGCCTCTGTGTTCCCACACGAGGACAAATTTCTGACTTGATGGAACAATTCAGTGCTAAAATTAAATGAATAAGCTGAAAGAATACTGGGCAAAACTCTTGTGGTACTACGAAGAGAAGCGAATATGGTGTTTTATTGCCAGATATATTATTTATGTATACGAATTCAAGGCTAAAAGCACCGCACACACTCTCTCTCACACACATGGCTGTGTATTTTCCACCAGCCAGACCTACTTTCTAAAATTCAGAAGCCTGAACTGCTCAGGTGCAGACAAAAGGTGTTTCGACATACAGACATTGTATATTCCCTCCACAGGCCGTACAGGTAGCATGTGTATGCGTAAAAGAAAAGAGGGAGAGCCAGACCACATGGCCGCACACACCGACACTCAGGGCACACATAGCCCCTATAACGCACGTGCATACGTTTACGTATGTATCTGTGTCACTACCCCTATCAGCCCATTTGTGGCTTCCAATTGAAAAATTCGTAAAGCCGGGAATTATAGGCCGG